TAGAGGATTTTTCTTCTCTATATCTGTCTATTATAAGACAACTTAATATCATTTCCACTAGATTAAATTAACATAATTGTTTTCACCATTTTAAAGACTAAAGGAAACAACAGTACAACATGACCTTTTCCATCATTTCAAAAAATAAAATTCACAGAAACTTAAGATAGTTGCTTTCTTCGATTTTATATGTATCAACTGAGCAGATAAAATGCAAACAAACTGCACCATATACTATACAACTAAGATTCTAGTTAATTTAAAATTATATATAATTTTATATAGGTGAGTGGTAACCAATATAAAACTAAATCTCATATAGTTAAAAGAGAACAAAAAGAATGAATATTATTTTATCAAAAATTATAGATAACTGGGAGAAAACATACCAAGTTATCAACATTGAACATGCCGCTGAGTGGAATTAAAACAATGACTAGAATAGTTTGTACATCCACCATAGGAGTATCAACGAAAATATTATAATTCTTATTCTCCATAATAACATCGTGTAAATATTCTTAAGATTGTTGGAAAAATATTTGATTATGGAGAATATGATTTATCAAACCTTGAGGCGTATCAAGGACACTGTCCTTAAGGATATTTCGCCCACACGGTAAAGAATAAAATTAGGCGCATCCCCCAGGATTCAACAAGTTCTTCCAGTTATAAACTGGGAACAGAACTAGCAGAAAATTCATGAAAAAAGCCTAGCATATAGGAGGAAGAAGAAGATTCAGAAATTTGTATTAGAAAGTATGTCTTTAGCTCTCCAAAGACCATGTTTATATAGGTGTTGCTCTAACGGCTAGATTACGATAAGATAATGGCTAGTTTGACTCTATTAAAAATAAAATAATTTACTAAATAATAGGTAAATGTAAATAATATTTCAAAGAGAAAAAATTTTCCAAACCATAATGGACATAGTTTCCAACAGAGAACAAGATATTAAGTGATTTCTTTTTATTTATCTAAACCTTTGTGACTATAGTTGAATAGGAGTTTTGGAACAACGATAAATTTATTTTCGTGTGATCTATAGGTTAAGGATTTGGGCCGGGAAGCAATCATTAATGCTTGCAATAAGGTAAGTTGTTTACATCACACCCCTTAGGATACGACCCTTCCCCGGACTCTCCGTGAATACGAAATGCTTTGTGTACCGGGCTACCTTTTGTGAGTATAGTTATCTCATATCCATGCTGATAAATGGGGTGAAATTTAAAAATAGCCAAATTTACAAGTGGTAATTGAAAAATAGCCATAGTTTCAAAAGTAATCGAAATTTAGCCACTTTTCATGTAAAGATAAATTTGAACGAAAATATTGTTCAAAATTCGAAAAATATTCCAGCATAATATACTGGAATTCCAGCATAATATACTAGGCCAGTATAATATATTGGAAGTTCATACACAGGTGCTCCAATTTTCAATATATTATGTTGTAACTTTCTGTGTGTTGGAGTTCCAACATAATATGATGGAAGTTAATACACAGGTACACCAATCTCCAGTATATTATGCTGGAACTTTCCGTGTTGCAGCAAAATAATGGCTATTTTTCAATGACTTTACAAATACTGACTATTTTTCAATTACCAGTACGAAAATTGACTAGCCCATGCTATTTTCACGATAAAAGGTAGCATGTATTAATAAAATAGTTGTCTTGTGCACAAGCTGATACGGACACTAATATTATTGGGGAAAAAAAGGTATACATTTGTTTGCATGACAACTATTATGTTGACCGTCAACATTATACGGAGGTCAATAATTGATACTCCTACGAAAATTAAGAGGTTTATTAACAACCACTCAAATGTAGAGAAACTCTTGGTGACCCCAAAGCATGTCGTCAAAAATAGATGCATTGGGATGTGTTGGCTTCAACAACTCCTTTTTTCCAGAAACCTGGAATCAGATTTAAATCTGTTTGTGTGGTCCTATGGACTTGTGTCCATAAACCTCCTTAACTGCCTTCAACTTTATGATGCTAATGCCAGCTGTGACCTGTCTCAAATTGGATACTGAATCCCACCACATTAAAAAAAACTGAATTATATTCCTAGATCAAGATCTCTCTTTTATAGTACAATTCCAGCTCTGTCATGTCCATCTTCATATACTGACATAATAATACAAGGAAAATCTTGAAACAAGCACAATTTACTTACTTTTGGGATCAAGTGCATTATCCTCTTCCTACACAGCACACTGGAAAATCATGGGCAACTTGAGGGGGAAAAAAACAGTAATGCTTTGCAGGAAGATAGATCCATGCCCTGTTACTGCAATTTAAGTTACTGCAGTGGTTGTGGGTTGATCTAAATGCTGAATTTATTTATTTTTGGTTTCTCATTCGGTGTCTGGTACCCACATTGGGGTTCGACTATATCCGGATTCGCACCGAGAAGTCCCACATTGAGGGTAAAACGCTCCCTGACAAAGATGACTGCATACCCAGGGACTCAAACTCGAACGTTTGGTTAAGGATGAAATAGTACTTACCGCTCTACCAAAACACTTTTTGTTAGAGGCTGAATTTGAAGTACACGTTCACTCTTCTGATATATAACGCATGACAGTGGGCCTGACAAAGTGAAAATACGGCAAAAAGTTAAGGACTGGAAGCTATGTACAGTTTTATTGGGAGAAGAACACTGTTGTCATGAGAACTGGAAACAACCTTAGGTGAAAATTCAATGACACCACAAGCCAATCAAAAGGGATTGAATTCAAGGCTTTGTTTTGATGGCAGTTGGTAGGCAAAAATGTTTTGCCCCATACCATCTTGATTCCTCTATACCATAATTGACTGTCAATAACCATAGCCTAACCATATCCTTTCTTGATCTTTGTTTTGTGGGAAAAGGGTAAAAATGAAATGATCTTAAGTTTACTTTCCTATAATTTCTGAGTCATTCATATTCTTGTCATTAGCAAACAGTCTCATACTGCCCTTAATCTTAACGGAGTTATATGGAGGGTAATTTTTAATCATCTCAAAAAATAAGGACATGCAAATTTAGACATTTTTTCCTAAAGTATTTTGACACATGAAGTCCATTCAATCCGTACTAAAGTTCCCTAAGTCAAGTGCAAATATGAAACAATTTGCTAACAACAAGAGTATGAATAACCCTACAGTATAATGGACGGTAAAATTAAAACATTCCGCACAATAAAGTGGTATATATGGATTAAAACATTCTGCACAATAGAGTGGTATATTTGGACCTTTTCCTTTGTTAAATTTATATTCATCTTCAGTTCAATTTTTCTCTTTTTTCCTTTTTCCGTGTTAAGAGTTTTTACTTCTTTCTATTTTCTGGCGCTACTTGGACGACTCCCATTAGTAAGATATGATACATGATTAGGGGCGGAACCAACAGTTTGGTGCGTTCAATTGAACGCACTAACTTTTATTCTAGACCTGAATTTTCAGTATAAAATTCACTTAACTTGCTGAAAAAAATGAGCTATGAACCAAACAAGGTGTGGGTTTAGTGGTTGAAACCAAAATTCTGAACCTATAGAATTAAAATTATGTATTCGTCTCTCTCTGAACAGAACTAGCAAAATAGAAAGAAAGAAATTAAAAAAGACCAGTGTTGAACTTGAGGAATACTTGTGTCATAGTTCTTGAAAATGGATGATACTAGATGAGATACATTCTGCTTTGAGAAATAGAATTTGAGTGGAAACAGTCAAAAGGACTAAAGAAATGAAAGAAAGAGCAATATAATTGTGTATGACTTCAAGTCCAATGACACCTTCAAAGGGGACAGAATTGAGGGGACAAACATATTATAGCATAAATAATTTATAAAGAGGTTAATATTATAATAAAAATGGCATGTAGCATTGGGTCAGGAAGATCTCAGGCAGGATCTCTGCAGGGTCTTGAAGTTACATATGAAATATTCCGACATTATTTTTGGAATTTCCCACTCATTTCTGTACTTTTCTGACTGCCCATTACCCTTGTAACATTTTCATTATCATCCATTTGCATTTTTTTCTCCTATCTATTAACCTATGATTTTCCGAGTCATTACGATAATAAGAATTACTAGGAAGCAAACAAGGAATCCATGGGCACTTTTTTTTTTTTTTTTTTTTTTTTTTTTTTTTTTTTTTTTTTGGGCACTTAATTTGAACCTGAATATCCAAGAGAAAGTAGAATATTTAATTGAAGGACGAGAAATCCTTTTTGAACAACCCGTTATAATATGAAATCCTTTATATCCTGAAATTAATACATTAAGTTGATTCTTGTCTAGGTTTTGGCGACATTATAGTCAAAGCCTATTTTCCAATATTTTGTTCAATTTTAAAAATGAATTTCAAGAAGCTTAGGATCATATACTTGCCCCTAGTCCCCCCTTTTTTATTTATTTATAAAATTAGCAAAGCAATGGAAAACAATTAGTAAAAGAATTATTGTTGTGGATCATGATTATAATACTAGGTTTGGTTGGCTTGACTAAACAGTTCAATTTGTCCTATCTCCCTCTCTAAAAGTCTTGATAGGATTGAGAACTCATGACATGTTAGAATCAATTATAGATTATCAAGGACAGTCAACAAAAGCAACAAGATTTGCCTTGATTAGTAAATAATTTTCTTCACTCTCTTTTTTTCCCTTTTCCCTTTTCCCTTTTTCTTGTTCCTCTTTCTTCAAGTTTCATTTATGTTACAAATACTATGTGTTGAATGAAAGCATGGAAATCCATGAGAAACAATGTTCTGAATATTATCGCATATTTAGAATTCAGAGGTAATCGATTCTGAGTTGAGAGAGTAGTTTTTGAAATGTATATCTAACACTTTATATACTTGTTTTTCGCTCATAAGTATATATAAGTTCGAGCTGAAAACGGTGAGTTCTGCCGACTCCACGAACCCATGGTGTGATGTGCCAATTTTACTTGGTTGCATTGCACATAATTTGCTAAGCAGAAGTTCAAAAGCTAATTACTCCCAACATGAGTTCAAAAGCTAATATTTCACTATTCATTTGCAACAAACTTAATTCTAAGATAGAGGAATAGGAATTCCAACTTCTTCTTTCAAGTTGTTTCCCACTGCATTGACAGCAAAAAAATTTAAAAAAAATGAAAAAGAAGAGGAACAAGATCCCTTTTGATATCCAATTCCTTTTGCTTAAACAATTTTTTTTCACTCCTTCCCCTCTTTCTAAACATTCTCGTAGCTGCAGACATCATCAACATGTGCTAAAACTGATAGCTGCTAATATCCCCACCTTTTCCCTTCGGACCACCTGATAAAAATCAGATCAAAGCAAACAAATGTTAGTAAAATCAAGAATGAATTTTTGGCACTGAAAACTTGATATTTCAAATATAAAAAAAAATCAAGAACTTAACTGGTTTTCTTGTATTTGATTTCCAGGTAACAGAGATGATTGGAAGAAATCATATTGCTCCTGATATGCATATGCAGATCTCCTCTGCATAAAATATATTTACTGATGAGCACATAAACTTATAACAAATGAAATCTGTATGGAGGAATGTTAATTAGTAGTGACGGAGTCATAATTTTTACGAAGGGGACTCATAATATAAAAGAGTAAAGACACAAACGAGCCAAAGGGATTCAATATCTACTATATATATATATATATAATGTAATTTTTCGAAGGGAAGTCTTGGTTTAACGGGTAAAATTGATGTCATGTGACCAGGAGGTCACAGGTTCGAGCCGTGAAAACAGTCTCTTGCAGAAATGGAAGGTAAGACTGCATATAATAGAACCTTCTGGTCCGGCTCTTTCCAATCCCTCGTATAGCGGCAGCTTAGTGCACCGGCGTACCCTTATATATAATTTTCAGAGAAGGGAGTTCAGATGAACCCCTTCCGCCACCCCTATTAATTAGTTAACACAAATTTTACATCTATAACAAGTACCTAGTTAAGTACCTGAAAATGAGTTGTAGAATAACCTTGTGAAAAGTCCAATACATTATCCACTGAAGCTGTGCCATTGGTGATTGTAAAATTGTTCTAGTAAATAAGATAAAAACCTCAAGAAAGTTAGCTTTAAAAAAGTCACATTCTTCCATTAATGCTAGTAGTTATCAATGTGCAAAAAAAAGAAGTTAAACTTACATTTGAGAAATCAAAAAAAGGAGAGCTAGCTGTATCATCCAGTGCAGAAGTTTGCTGTTTTTTTCCCTTTGCTTTTTGCCTTTTGGGGTTGTTTTTAGGCAATGTGGCATTAATGGGAGCATGAAAAATGAAGCCATTATTGTTGTGGCCATAATCTTGATCTTCTTCATTAAAATGTGGAGGTCCAGAAGATGCATCAGAAACCATAGACAAATCCTCCTCTTCTTCTTCCTCTTCATCTTGTTCTGTTTTTACACTCTTTTCAGCTTCACAAAAAGGTGAAAATTTATTGGCATTGCAAGAAGTAATAGGAGGAAGTACAGAATTTTCCAAGTATAAAGTCCAACCAGATTCACATCCACTACTACATTCTGAATCTGAAAAAATTCCATAATCCATATTTTTTTTTTCTTATGTTCACTCTCTAAACCGAGAAAATCAAAAGGGGTGTCTTTTCTTTTTTGGTTTTTGGCTAGAGAAAAGAAAGTGTAATGTGTTATGTGATGTAGTGTGATGAGTAGTCACTTTATTAAGTAGTGTTGGGATTTTGAGGGGGAAAGGCTAAAAGAAATAAAGGTGGAGATCGGAAAAGACCAAAGGGGAGAATGAAGGCTTAAATTCCTAGACCTGTTTTTTGTCCTCACGCACTCCATTTGGTATCTATATTGGATTAAATCAGGACGTGCCAGTTGGCTTTTAGGGTTGACAAGAGCATATGTATGTTTTAATGCAGCGTGTACGGATGTATTTTCAACTTGAATTTTATAATGTAAGAGATCTTGAAAATTATGTATTTAAACTCATTTTCATTAAAAAGTAATATTAACAACATCAATAATAAATTCATTGTAATCCCACAAGTAGCGTATGAAGAGGATTTGTAGCGACTGAGGAGAATAATGTGTATACGATCTTACCTCTATCTTGTGAAGGTAGAGAGAGTGTGTTCAATAGACTATCAGCTTAGAAAAAGCATAGTCATAGAATTATTGAAAAGAAATATAGTAATAAAGAAACAACAGAAAAAATAATAATAATAAGAAGCAGTACCAACAACATCAAGATAATAAGAACACAAAATAAGGTGACATTCGATATTGTTTCTTCGAAAAATCTGTATATTGTACATATATTAAAATTTCTCAACCTCAAATATGAATATGGGAACTAACTCAATAATGGCAAGTGAACCTTTTATTGAAATTTCTCAACCTCAAATTTGAATATGTGTACTAACTCAATTTAGTGATAGACAAACACCGTTACATGTTTAAACTGTAGCATACGGTGAGTAGTAGTAAGAGAAATGAAGAAATAAATTGAAAGGACGGGAACGAAGGCACAAGGCCATCACATGGTGAACAGCGAGGCATTAGGTACGTTCTTTACAAAATAGGGTACACGCCCATCTTCCCTTTCCTCCTTATTTTGACACCTATCCTTTCATTCCACTATCCCCCTTTGCACGATGCTGCTAGGTACTGAAGAGATTGTGTGAAGGTGGAATCAGAATTTAAACTTTAAGAAAAAGTAATTGGGTGTATGAAGTATTTTGTGTTTATGTAGGATTCGGAAAAAAATTGTACCCCAAGAGAGTGTGATATAGACAACCTACTATATTACAAAATTTCAGTGGTGGCTCGAACCCGTGACCTATAGGTAATATTGAAACAAACTTTACTATTGACTCTCCTTCGTAATTTGAACTTTATGAGTTTTAACTAAAAAAAAATAGTGATAATAAATGTTAGTAACTGAATTTCTGAATCTACCTTCTATACATATGTAATAGATTTGTTAACATAAATAAGTTTGGACTAAACTATTAAGGGTGAGTCCATATATCACATTCTAGCTCCACCACTCCCATAAGGGTGATGTTCTTAATTCCTATCACCACAAAAAACAAGAAAAAAGTTGTATCTATGCTTATTTCTACTTTCCATGTTTGCTTAATGTTGTGTGGTGGAAATGTTACTCTTAAATTTGTTTACAAGAATTGGTATTGCCAATTGACATTTCTACTTTCCATGTTTGCTCAATGTTGTACGGTGGTAGATTAATAACTGTTAAATTTGTTCCTCAAGGGGGGAAATTTTGTTTTAGTGGATTTCCTTTTGAATAGAAGTGGAATGAATCTTTGTAGTGAATATGACTAATTGATTCCGCCTTCAACAGTAATTGTTATTTACACTTGTTACTTTTTACTCGAACTTATTTAATTCAAATTATGAATTTATATATGCCTTTTAGTAGAGCATGTTTGTTCATGACATTTTCGCTATTGTATTTCCTTTTAACTATTATATTTTTATTTTTCTTGAACCGAAAATCTATAAAAAAAAATAGATATTTTATTTGCATAAGGTAAGGGTAAAGTCCGCACACACATCATTTGTGGAATTACATTAGCCATGTTGTTATTGTTGTAGTAGGGCCATGTGTCTCATATACTTGAGGTAAGCGATAAGACTAAATAAAAAAGGAGATATTACTTCCCTTTAATCGTACTTTAGGGAGAATTGAAACATGGATTCTAACAAGAAGCTGTGGGATTTAGATATTTTTAATAGATTAAATAGTATTAGGCAGAGAAAGGACAGGATCAAGAACGTGTGGCAGTCAGCTTAGTCAGTGAAGCAGTCAAACTAGAAGGTGCCCAATTCTAGTACTCTAATTGTTCAAACATTGTATACTGCTAATTTGCCAGAAAAGGTATGATACTGTTGTTTAATATAAAAGCAAGTGGGACTTAAATAAATTATGCACTTGGTAAAAAGCTGTGCCCTTCAAACAGTGTTAGTCCAAATGACCTAATGCTTCCACATGAACTCATCGATTTTAATTAGATAATGTATATCTAGTAATTCAAACTTAATACAAAAGTCACTAACTCTAAATTAGGTGTCACTTCTGATTGCTTATGCAGATTGTTTAAGAAAGCGGATTATGCCCCTAAAAACACTTTTTGCGCCCCTAAAGATATAGTTTAGTGGCCAATAAATTAAAAGTAAGTTATGAAGGTCAGAGTCTAAATCTCGGTAAAGGCATCCAAACGTTAGGTAATTACATTGTTCGTTCTGATTTATGTAACATAATTTCCTCACTAGTTTGTCCCAAAAAATATGATATGCTTTATATTTGAAAATTATTTAATTTTAACGAAAAACTTTTATAGCTATACAAATGTTATGACATGTTTAAGATTATAAATTTCAAAAATCTTATAATCACACAAATATTATGACATGTTTAATATCAAAAATCTTAAAAATATTTATTTATTTTTTAAATTTTATATCGAATCAAACTATATAACAAAAATAATAAAGTAATAATTTTTGTCTGCCAAAGTTTTTGTGAGCAGAGTTAATAAATGTGGAACGTCACTTTAAAATTAAAATAGAAAACAGATTGATCTCCAAGAAACCTCTTCTAAATCTGAAGTGACTGTGCATACAGTCATTCTGTTTGAAATTTGACTGCGTTATTATCAATGAATTCACATGCCCTCATTTTTATTTTTACACACATTCACAGACACATGTATGCACGTGTGCATATCGTTATTCGGGAGGAGTTTCCAACAGGTTTACACACATGTTTGCACGTGTGCACACTTGAATCTTAAAATTTATTATTGCCTCCTCCCCTCACCCTCCATGCCCAAATGTACATGCTTTATTTTCTTGTTTAAATATACTGTTAAGTTGTCTGTAATTTTTATTACACATTCCAATGTTTAATTAGAAGGAAAATTTAGAGTAACGGTAAAATTATGTTCGTATGATTTATACTTTATGAGTTTGAGTCGTGGAATCAACCGAGTATCAGGGTAGGCCGCCTACATTATATTCTTGAGGTGCGATCTTTTTATGGGCCTTGCGTGAATATGTGATAATTCGTGCATCGGGTTGCCCTTTTATTCCAATGTTTAATTCTTGCTTATTCTCATTCCTTATTTTCAAACTAAACACATTTTCACAGGAAAAATATTTACTTCAAATTAATAAATACAAAACATGTCTCATGCATATAAACTTTTGTCACTTGATTATAGTGAGATCATATATATCAGTATCACTTCAACTTATGCCCTTAAAGATTAAATTGCTTGGTTAACAACAATAATAACGCAGTATAATTCCACTAATGAGGTCTGGAGAGGGTAGTATGTACGCAAACCTTACCCCTACCCTGAGATAGATAGGCTGTTTCCGATAGACCATCGATTCCCTCCCTCCAAGAACTCCCCACCTTGCTCTTGGGGTGACTCGAACTCACAACATTTTTGTTGGAAGTGGAGGGTGCTCACCACTAAAGCAATCCACTATTGTCCTCTTGTTTAATGTAAAAAAAAAATAAGTATATGTAAGTATTTTCTCATTCTTACCATCCTTAGTAATATTGGCCGAAATTTAAAAAAAAAAAAAAAAAAAAAAAAAAAAAAAAAAAAAAAAAAAGAGTTTAATAAAAGAACAAGATGACACATGAAAGATTTAGGGAATAGAGCAAAGCACAGGGCTAATTTGAACAAAGAGAATGGCCACATGAAATGCTTCTTTTATACTATATAGTATACTTACTAAACGTTGACTGCGATACAATGTTCTCTGTCAATATCAAGAAAAAAAGGATCATATTATTTTTAGGAAAAAAGGCCCAAAAATGACTTTGTGGTATTCAAAATGGATCAATTATAACCCCCGTTTAAATTTGAGTCCAAAAATGACCCTGTCGTTATAAAATAGGTTTAATAATGTCCTTCTGTTATTCGAAATGGATCAATTATAACCCTCGTTTAAATTTGAGCCCACTAATAATCTTGTCGTTAAAGAATGGGTCTAATACTGCTATTTTCCTCAGTTAGTAATGATTAGGGGTATAAATGAATATTTAAAAACCGACTAAACCGACATAACTGTACCGTGCCGAACCGATTTTTAGTTTTTTTTTAAATAAAACCGTATATTTTTATATAAATCTATAACTGTACCGATAATTAGGGTAGGTTTTTTATTTTATAAAAATAAACCAAAAAAATATTGAACCGTACCGAATAAATTTACATGTGAAACATATATTTATGTATTAAGTTTAAAAATAATAATGTATTAAAATTTGTACATTATTTATATTAATACATTATTATTTATAAATATAAATATTAGACTCATTCTTTAACGGCATGGTCATTAGTGGACTCAAATTTTAAACCTATTCGACCCATTCTTTATAAATATTAGACCCATTATCATTTTTAAACTTAATATATAAATATCGAACCGTACCGAATAAATTTACATGTGAAACATGTATTTATACTAGGTCTAATAATATGTCTGATATATTTACATGTGAAACATATATTCACATGTAAATTTATTCGGTACGGTTCGAATATATTTATATGTGAAACATATATTCACATGTAAATTTATTCGGTACGGTTCGAATATATTTATATGTGAAACATATATTCACATGTAAATTTATTCGGTACGGTTCAATTTATTCGGTACGGTTCAATATTTTTTCGATTTATTTTTATAAAATAAAAAACCTACCATTATTATCGGTACAGTTATAGATTTATATAAAAACATACGGTTTTATTTAAAAAAAAAACC